TTGTCAAAGGGGTGTAGGGAGGTGACTTTATGGTGGTCAGGGTTGGGATTTACCTGGCCACTGTCACTTTACCTTGAATGGGAAAAGTGACAATGTCGCTACAAAAGTTAGTTAGAAGAAATTAGCAAAATTACTATTTTATTACTATATTATGTTATGAGACTACTAGTTCATTTTGTAATTATTGTTTTTTTCAATTTTTTTTTATTGTTACAAAAATATGCACACTGATATAGAAAGGTAAATCTTCCACAGAAATGTGATCTCAAATTCAGCCAGATACCTTGCAGAACAATGATGTTGTTATTATTATTATTATTATTATTAATAATATTATTATTACATAGACACAGTGCTGAACCATAAACATTGCTCTGAACATAAAACGGTTACATTTGAACTCCAGCCAAAGCTTTTGCTTTCAATAGAATGGGGTAAAGGCAATAATAAAAAAAAAAACAACAGAGGTCTCAACCCTTCCCCTATCTATCCTAGATCTAAAAAAGGTTTCAGCAGGCATTCCACTTAAAAACTCTTCTGTTTTCCAGGATTTGTCACAAATATCCAATGAATCACTGAAAACAATAAGTAAGGAAAGAAATGATTCTATTGTGCTCCTAACTTTTATGCTTTTTTTTTTTTTTTTTGCTTTATCAGATAATTACGGGTTTTACTCTGTGTCGGAGGTGTGCATCCCAGAGGCATGTAATGAGGGAGAGAAGTTAACTCTTTACTGTACAATGAAGGGTAACGTTCCCCGAGACATCAGAGTCACATGGGAGAAATGTTTCAGCGAAGAGCGGACAGCCATCGCAAGGGACCAAGATATCAATTACCAGGTTACTGAAAATAATTCACCCGGGCAGATGTGCTCCTTCCTCACTTTCTGTCCGACCTGTGAGGATTCTGGAGCCATATTTACGTGCTCCTTCACTGATAATGAAGGGAGGATCCTCGGAGAACGCAGCTCGCAGCCTCTGAAAGTAGCTGGTAAATACTCTAAATGTTCCTCAAGCACTTACACAGAAGGCCAAAATGGCTATGGGGGGGCTGCTAGACATCATACACTAAATGGCAGTAAAATACAAGTAAACATAAGAAAAGGCCATTTTAAAGCCTTTTGTACCATTTTAGCTCATATCCTAATTGTGAGCGGGTCCAAATAAGGAAGAACTGAATAGTTTATGATAGTCACAATACAGGCTAATTGACTAAAGAAGTTGAGAATCTTCAATGAAGAAAATGTGTAAATGTTCACTTCAATTATCTAATCATGTGATAAGCATCTGCACATGATTGGACATTCCAAGTAAGCAGGAACTTGACTTTTACATGATTGGATACTTCACTTTTTTTGGAAGATTTTCAATTTCTTTATTAAATCAGCCCAAATAACCACCTCAATACAGCATTAACTTGACATCTTTTTGTATTTTTGTGGACCCACCACACCCCTAACACAAACTTCTCACTTGTCCTTCAAGCTCCCAGTCTAGTCTATTTAACTGACTGCTGTGGATAGCTTTTCCTTGTATTCTGCATCCAACGCCATTGGCATTATGCAGGAAATAATCCCAAGGAGTGGACAACAACAAAAAGGAAGCAAGTAGGTTCTATTTATATACAGGCAATGTCAAACTCCACTACAGAAAGATAAAACATATAGTACTTTTAGACATCATGCTAAAGGGACTCTTTGCTGGAATGAATACCTAAAATAATGTGCCCTTTTGCAAATAAGGACTTGGATGCCGCCTGCACACTGATCTCTGTAGAAGTGCCAAGAAACAACCCATTGAAGACTCTTCAAAAAACAATATTTTGGGGAGGGTCAGATTCCCGGTCACCCACTGTGCTCAGTGGTTCACTTCTCCAGCCCCTCTGTCACTACCATGCTCTTTAGCAATGAAAGTGCTGGGGAGGAACCACAGTGGAGGACAATTTCCGGAAGTATCAGTTTCTAAAGAATCTGCAGCAATTGATTTCTTTTCACTTCTGCACAGATCAATGGGGCCCGCAGCAAGAAAAGGGAGTATCCAAGTCCTTCTTTGCAGAGGGGGTATTTTTTATATATACATTTTAGCAACAGAGTCACTATAGGGAAATGCAATCAAAAATGAGGTATTATGGTAGAGGGTGGTATCTACATTTTACATATTCCATAAATTATACCTCACTCCCTGTATGAAAAAATTAAATTTCAATGTGTTCTGGTTTCATATCCTCAGTAAGAGAAGCCAAATGTCTTCTTTCTATGAACAATAATGCCAAAAATCCAGAAAGCTTTATCACTGCCGCTTGATGGTCATATGTGGTATTGCAGGGTCTCTTTTTATCACGTTATTTATTTTATTTATTACAGGTATTTATATAGCGCCGACAATTTACGCAGCGCTTTACATAGTAGCACATTCACATTAGTCCCTGCCCCCAAGGAGCTTATAATCTGAGGTCCCTATCTCACATGCACACAAGGGCTAATTTAGACAATTAACCTACCAGCATGTCTATAGAGTGTGGTAGTACCCGGAGGAAACCCACGCAAGCACAGGGAGAGCATGCAAACATATCTGGCACTAGCTGTATTTATGGTGTACTACATGTAATGCAGAGATTATAAAACATTCTACCTGCAGCTGAAATTGTACTGTAGATATATGGTGTCTCGGCCATTGTTAGGGCCTGTTCATAACTCTGTGCTTTGGAGAAGTTTTAACCCTCCATTTTCCTAAGCACATGAAGATCTCTGAAGAAGGCTGTTTACAATCTAATGAGCTATCTGTAAAAAAAAATAGATCAAGGCAACCGGACTAGCTGTATTTGTTCTTGAAGACATTTTGCTGGTCATCCGACTAGTTTTCTCAATTCAAAATGACCTGTACGAAAATTTTCTGGGAATATATATATGGTGAATGTTGCTCCAATCAACATAATTCCACCATCCTATAAGTCACAAACTGGGAGTCATCAGGACTCTACACCACTGGCCAAGGCAAAGGAATTCAAACATCTCATAGGGCCCTTAAAACTTGCGGGTATCAAGGCTGGGCGTTTTCGTCAAAACAGAAAGAAGGAGAGGAAAGAACACCAAGACAATCAGTGAGGGTGAAAAGCATGAGAAACGGAAGAATTTGGTCATCCCGTATATAGCTGGGGTGTCTGAGAAAGTCAGAAGGGTTTTTAATAAACATCACATACCTGTCTGCTTTAAACCCAGCAATACACTGAGGCAACAACGGGTTCACCCTCAAAAGACCCAACGCCAGAACACAAGATGAACAACATTGTGTATGCAGTTCAGTGCAGTGAGGAGAGCTCAGAATTGTATGTCGGTGAAATGAAAGAGCAGCTACACCAGCGTATGGCACAGCATAGGAGGAAGAGCCAAACCCTCTGGTCAGGATTCAGCAGTGTACCTACATCTAAAGGAAAAATTTCACTCCTTTGAAGACAGTCAAGTACGCATCCGAAACAGGGAGGAGGACGGGTTCATAAGAGGTGTGAAAGAGGCCATTTATGTAAAAATGGAGAAGCCAAGCCTGAATAGATGCGGGGGGAGGTGAGACATCTATTGTCCGCCACATACAATGCTGTTTTAACAGGTTAATAACACCTCCTAGACTCCAATTATGCAAATGCAATCAGCACCTTACCTCCATGAGGTCTCTGACCCCATGCTGGTTATGATTAACAGATTATGTTGATTGGAGCAACATTCACCATATTTATTCCCAGATAATTTTTGTACAAGTCATTCCGAATTAAGAAAGCTGGTCGGATGGCCAGTAAACCATCTTCAAGAAAAAATACAGTTGCCATGATTTATTTTTTCAGATATACCATGACCTGGATGAATGAGAACCTTCACAGACAATCTCATGAGCTGCAATTTAAGTGTCCTTTCCTGCAAGTGCAAAAACCATTGGGATAGAAAGTAATGCATAAACAGCAATCTTTACATGAGCATGTCTTTTTTAAGTGTAAAGAAGTGATGTGCTATTTATTAACAGATGTATGCAAAAATAATGCCATATCATGTCATGATGTTTGTTTACTGTAAATGTAGGCATGAGGCAAATTCATTAAATCATTACATCCATGAATGTGTTCATACATATACAGTATCTACATGTATTGTGTCTGTGTGCTTATTTACCTTCTAAGGAATGTGAGATGTGAGTGTATTCTGCCACGAGAGAATGACATGCATCTAAAATACCAATCTACAGAATTCATTTAAGTATGTAATGTATGCAGTGGCAATGTATATGATCTAACATTTGATTCAGTAGTAAGAACAATATGCACGCAGAATCATTCTCATTAAGTTATATTAGGGCACAAATTATATAAATGACATGAATCTGGATCTGTTTCATAGGTAGATATGGGTGTTGATATGCATGGGTATCCAGCAGCAAATGGGTATACCAAACATAGAACATGCAGCATCCAAAGGGGCACCAGAACTGGGGTGGCACTCCATAAGTATTAGTGCTACATCCACCATAGACAGCAATTGTCTCTACGGTTAAGTTTTTTCTTAAGCTATGTTCAGGAGCGCAAAACACATGTACAGGAATGTAAACGTATACACATATGGGCTATATGGCTAATGAGTATTTAATTCCTTTACCAGTCAAGCCGGCACTTGTAGGGTTATTCACAAAAGGGTGAAGAGATTGGAGAAGGCCGGAGAAGTGAACAATCTAGAACAACATATCTGAACTGGAAAGTGATCTGAATTGGAAATATGTTGTCCTAGATTGCTCACTTCTCCGGCCTTCTCCAAACCCTTTACCCTTTTGTGAATAACCCTGATGGTCTCTTCTAAGATCCTATGTGGTAATAAGGGAAATGTATTGAAAGAAGAATGTATTTTCTTGACTGGCCTTTTATTTAACAACAACAAAAAGTAATAGCCTTCTAAACATATTACAGACAAATCAGATTAGTCCTCATGCATGAAGTGTCTGACTGAAGAACGCCTGGTCCTATCAACCAATCAGTGACTTCTTTACACGTTTAAACCTGCTCAAGCAACAGCAAAGGAAGAAGCTGATATGCTTGACGCAAAATATAGGTCTTTAGTCAGGCTCTTCCTATATGAGGCCCATTGCATTGAAGAGAATCACAGAGGAATACTGGTGAGTCGGGAAGATACAACACCTCACACTGCTGACCAACTCAGTATCCGTCCTACTTTTCCAGAACGTCTCTCACATCATTCCAGTGCATTTCACATTTCACCTTCTCCAGTTTCTGCTCATCCTCTCACTCTTCCCTACTCCTTTTATTTGCTTTTTGCTAGCATAGATGAGAAAGCATGTATTTCCTATGACTCGTGCTCTGTATGTAATGCATTATACACTGTACCTTTTGTAAAGATATCCTTTAGCCTCCAGCAGCCCCACCCCCTTTTCACTCTGAGATCTCTTGCTGTGTAGCCCACATAGTCTCTTCTCTGAAAGTCCAAGCCAGACTTCACTTCTTTTTTCGCACATTTCTATTCATTTCTATATAAAGACTGTCCATCATTGGGAAAATAATGGACAGCCATTCCATAGGAATGAATCGGGACATTGATTGAAGATGAGCCCATTGTAGAAGAGACAATGCAGCAGCCAGTGAAGATCTCCGAGAAGTGGGATAGGTAGCTGTGAGACTTGCAGCTGTTCCCGCTCCTTTGAGAGTCGCACATCCTCTTCTCCGAAATTGTCACAGCTGGGCTTTGTTTCTTCCTTATATTTCCATTCATCCCTATGGAAAGGCATTGCACTTTCCGGATAAATAATGTAATAAATGGAGATTTTCCACCTATGTATGGGAAAAGCAGAGCCCAGCAGGCAAGGAGACAGTTGAGGAGAAGACTGTGCAGAACCCAGTGAAGATCATGTAGGAAAGTGTAAGACTTGGGGGAGGGGGGATTTAAAGAATACCTGTACTCATCTTTTACTGAATAGAGCTTATGCTGTGTGTTTTTTTTTTTACAAGGAGCTGGCACTTCTGCCCCTGGGCAATGCGCAGTCATTCATGCAATAAACATGTGCTCTCTTCATTCTTGGAAAAACTTTATAGTATTTATGGAGTGCGGGTTCCCCAAACGTTCATTTGCCAATAGTAAGTGCCAGTAGCGGATGACCTCACAAGGCTTTAGAGAGAACAAGTGCCGCTATAATTATCCTGCAATTGAGCATGAGTTGCTGCCTCTTCAGCTGTAATGAGACTCTATGTACTTCATGTAAACACACATAAAATAGAGGTGTTTGCAGTGACATGAACAGTGATTGCCTTCACCACCAGTATCTCCCCTGCCCCACAAATACACCATTGTGGTTATTGTTGCTGTTATCTCTCCACAGCAAAGTATTATTCAGGTTGATTGTTTCAGTCGCACTGTAATCTGGTTGTATTGACCTTTTTACGGTTTTAATTCTATAATCAGAAAGCCTGAACAATTCATTTGTTTGCTACAATGCAAATGTAGGTTAACTCTGTGCCATTTGAAGTTTCAATCAGATTTGATCTCATTGCAATCTATTTCAGTATTCACAAGACAACTCCAGAGACAATTGTAAGGTGGAAATGATTTGTTTTCAAATATGAAGCACAACAATTATGGCTGGTAATCATCCTTAAAGCGCACCTGTGCCCAGACTATGGAAACTATTTGCATTTTCTTAATTCAAAAGCCTCCATCACTGACCTCTTTAGCTGCATTATGAAGGAAATTCTTGTGAAAGATTATCAAACATCACTACAAAGACTAAAGTTTTCTCCACAGTGCCCATAGCTAGAGAGATGAATGAGGGCTTAAAGGAGAACTATGAGGTGAGTGAAAATCACAATTAAACTGTCACACGTCGGCTCAATAGATCGGGAAGTGAGCGAACACATACTGTTGCTCGCTCACTTCTTGATCATCTCCCTGCAGAGAGCAGTGACTGTCACTCACCACTCCCCGCTTCCCTGAAGAGACACATCTCTTCAGGGAAGCCTATCCCACCTCAACCTAACCACTGAACCATCACGTTCTCAAATAATTCATCCCCTCACAGCTAACTCCACATGTATCATTTCCCCCTCCTCGTTTAGATTGTAAGCCCTCAGGGGCAGGGCCCTCCTTACCATCTTGTCTTGAATTGTATTGTAATGTCTTCCTTATATTGTAAAGCGCTTCGCAAACTGTTGGCGCTATATAAATACTATGTAATAATAATAATCTCAACAGTATTGTCAGGATCTGTCCCGGCTGCGGAGGTCTCAGTATACCGCTCGCTATAGCCCGCTATATACTGAGCTTTGGGTCACGGGAAGACGCCAGTATATGTCCTACCGTGACCCTATAGAGAACCATGGGGAAAAACACTTACCCCATAGTTCTCTTTTAATTAAAAGTGCTTTTACTGGCTGTTCAAAATACGTAAATACTTTAGCATGTTTAGTCTGGACACAGGTTCACTTTAAATACTATTATAACATCTGGCTGTTAGCCAAAGGTCATTTTGTTGGTGAAAATGACTCCTAAACGTAAGCCCTATTATTAACAAAAATTAACAAGTACAGTAAACTTCCCATTATCCGGCATCCACGGGGATTTGTAGATTCCGGATAAATGTAGTTTCTGGTTGCTTGAAAGCTACTATTAAAAATAGGTCTACCTAATGCCATACCCCATACTATACTCCCATACTATACCCCATACTATACCGTATCATAACAAACTCTGTATTGACTTCATATTAATATTGAAATGCTGTAATCAAAAGCAAATGAACACACTTAAAACAAATTAAGACTGTAGCAAGCAGCATTGTCACTGAAGAGAAATAATATTGACATTCATTTAGGTTGTGTTCACACCAGCTTCACACTAAAACACTCCACTTTAGCAAGTGACTGGTGTCTGCCGGGAGGCAGCAATGTGTAGCTGTGCCTTTTTTTGTTACAATGTAAAGCACTGTTTACACTCCATTCGGGTCTCCACACAGCAGCATGGTGTTCTGCGTTGTTGTGGCCCCCGGTGCCAACCAGTGTGCTGTGGAAAAATGCTGCATGCCTGTAATTCTTTGCACCGCACATCACCCCAGCGTTGTGGTTTGTACGAGGCACGTAGAATATAGTGACTGGCCAATGGAAAAAAAATGCCAGTCACCGCAACTGGTGTGAATGAGCAAACCTGTGGGTACAATAGTTTGTACCATCAGCCCCCATCTCCTTCTATAGCACCCTGGGAACCCCAAAACCATGTGTGCACTGATAACCAAATAATAATGAAGCTATGATGGTCGTGGGATCTGTCTTGCCCAGCCTGCCTCCTGCTGCTTACTAACAGTTACACAATTCCTTCATGACAATGATGGACAAATAATGAGGCACTGTAGGTGTCAGAGGATAGGCCAGTGCCCATAACTATTAAAGCTTGGTTCTATTTTGCATAACCTCATGCTATATGGCTTAGTGGTTCCAGTGAGATATCACTGGGCCCCCTGACCTCATGGGCCCAGATGAAGTTGCCACCCTTGCCCTTCCCACTTCCTATAGTTATGTCACATTTATGCCTTTTAATAAAAGCAGAGATTGACCAATGAGTCCAGATATGACAACATGCAAACGTGATAATGCATTCATCTTAATCTCTCTTTTTTTTTTTTTTGCACATTGTAACATCGGTGCACATAACACAGTAAGAACTGTCAGATGCATTGGGAAATCATTCAAATCAGCTTGGACTAATTGTTTTGAATCTTTTGCTCATTAACGTATCAGAATCAGCATTCAAACATTACTTTGGCCTCTCTTTCCCTGCTTTACTACTGATCAGCACAGACTTCCATTACAGTAATGGCCCAATAGTGAGGCACTGAAGGTGGGGGGAGGACAGGCCAGTGCCAATGACTAAAATAGTTTGTCACTTGTTTCCATGCTGTATAGCTCCCATAGCACCTGCATACATCTACTGGGTCAGATATCATTGAGGCTGGGTTCACACCATTTTCCCGACAAGATCTGCAACATAGCGCATTGCATTTTTGCCGCAAATTGATTTTTTTTTCTGAAGCTTAAAATGGTCTTACAGGTGCATTCCAGTGCGTTTGTGATGCGCTTTTGATGCCTTCCAGTACATTCCAGACCAGACAAAATAGGACAGGCAGTATTTTTCTGGTCTGGTCTGGAACAGACTGCGCTGGTGGGAACAGAGGCTAGAAATAGCATAGGGATACATTTTGGGTCCGGAAACAGTCTGGTCTGGTTTGGAGGTAATATGGATGTTGTGTGAATGGGCCCTCAGGTTAGATGATCAGCACGCCAGCCAATCAACCCACATTTTAAAAACAAGATAAAAAATGTCAGTCTCCTCCCCATTTGTCTCATGACAGGTCTTCTTTACATATACACAGGTCTGTTTCATGGTCTAGGACATAAGGTTGTTTTAATGAATGTCCCATCATGTACTCTGAGAGAGACAGATGAAGGCGTAAACATGACATTACAACATGACGTGTCACACAAAAGGCCTTTATCCACAATTCATGCCTGCAGTAACCAGAATGAATGCTTAGATCATTCACTAAATCTAAATACAGTGGTGACTCGGAGTTTCGGCAAAATTTTGCTTCTGTTCACGAACAGGTGAATGAACACAACCGCAGCCATCTTCCCCGCTCTAACACATGGCCGTGGCTTCCTCTAGTCGAGATTGCGGTCTGATCACAGTTTGATTCGGTTCGCGACCAATTCAGTTCGCGACCAGAATCGTGGAACGAATTAAGTTTGTGAACCGAGGTACCACTGTACTTGTTCCTTCTAATAGGTAAACTAGAAACTGTCCATCATAATATTAGTTATTGAAACTTTTCAGAAGCTGGATGTGATGACCCTTTAAAATGTTCAAATAGTCTTGAAAAAAAGATCCGGATTTTCTATAATAGTTTTGGCAGCAACGATAAATACTACTGACGATGGCAAATCCCCTTTGTTAGTCAACTAATAACTCTGCATTGCCTGGTTTTCAAACAACTTGGAAGCATTGCTTGCTCAATACCGGGGCACCCTCAGGTTGAGGAATAATATAGGTCACACGATTTGTATTTTAACAGACAACAATATGTACAGGTGAAACTCGAATAATTAGAATAACGTGCAAAGTTCATTTATTTCACTAATGCAACTTAAAAGGTGAAACTAATATATGAGAGAGACTCATTACATGCAAAGCAAGATAGTTCAAGCCGTGATTTGTCATCATTGTGATGATTATGGCTTACAGCTCATGAAAACCCCAAGAACCCCAAATCCACAACCTCAAAAAAGTAGATTATTACATGCAATCAATAAAACAAGGATTGTACATAGAACAATATCGGACCTCTGAAAAGTACAAGCATGCATATGTACTCAGTACTTGGTTTGGGCCCCTTTTGCAGAACTTACTGCAATTGCTTTTGCACGATATTCTAATTATTCGAGTTTCACCTGTACTTTTTACTTACTTTTTGGAGACACCGAGTGAGAGGTGAAATGGTTTTTTGCAGATTATTTTAATATTTGTTGTTTTGTCATTTTTCCCTTTGTTTTTAGAACCAAAGAAGGACAGCTGGAGCCGGACTTACCGGGACTGGGGTTTTCGGGCATTTGATGAGACTGTGATCTCGGAGATGTGAGAGTGATTTGTGGCTCCTTTGGCTTCCAGTTCAATCAAACACTTCACCACTTTCTCTTCTACTTCTGGTTCTCAGCCCAGAGCCCCAAGAGGTGGCAACACATATAAATAAACTGTTTCTCAGCACTTTGGTCCAAAGGATATCCTTGGGCCAGCTGGTTTCAAACTTAAAAGCCTAAGGGACACATACAAGAGCACAATTGGTGGGCTGAGCGTCATCTGGCACCATTGTGTTATTCTGTGTTACCAATCTGGATTCGTGTATACAAATACGACCATCAGTATGAAGTTACTGATTTTCTTCTCCCAGCATAATATTATTAAATGTACGCACACGCTGGAGAAATTCAAACCATAAGAAATACATCTACTGACTGCAAGGCAGAAATCTTGCATAAACAAACCCAAGGGGAGCTGACTTTGACTTTGAGGAAGCCTGTACAGTCTCCGTTCGTAATGTGAAAGGTATTTTGGTCTTGTTCTGCAGCAATACAGTATGTGCCAATCATCTGGCTATTGTGGGTATTTAACGTGTCTATGGAACTTTGATTTAACAAAACATGTGAACATGCAAATTAAAAGTCTCTAAACCTCGAGTCTCCCCAAATCTGATTTCATGTAATTGTAGCTAATCTGCTGCCATGCAAATAAGAAGTGTAAATACTTAGATATCCCCTCAGACCTTTTGGATTATATTAAAACTATATATAACTAAAGCAAATCCCTTTTTTAAATTGTATGCAAGAGCGAAAGAAAGAAAAACCCCATATACATCATATACTGCACACCCTTCCCCACTTCTTCTCCCTTCCTTCCTGCAAGTAGAGAAAAATGTTTTTGGCTGACAACACGGCCTCTGCTGTACTAAAGTCCAAAGCAGTGTTGTCAACCCTATTTGTCTTTCCTACAAAACTCTGCCTATCCTATATATATATATAATGTATATATACATACATACATACATACATATATGAAAACAATGCTGCTGCCTTAACTTGAAATTCCCTTTAGACTTAAATTTTGGATTTCTCATTGCTTTTTATCTCGGTGACAATGGTGACCAGGACAAGCAAAGAGAGTGAAACTCCCCAGTAATAAAAATCAGACAGTTTCAAACCCTTTTCGAATGTAACAAGAACTTTAAAAATGGCTCCAGATACATTTTAAGAGTGTTGGTTTGGCAAATGTTTTCACAGGGAAGTACTTGTACCACTAGAGGTCAGCACAATGCAGTTTCGTAGTCCAACTTATGAACAGCTGATTTTGGCCCAAATATTTTCTTTGCCGTATTTCTCCCTTCCATTCAGGCTTTAGGGCCTGTTCACATGATTTTCAGGTCCGGATCAGGTGCGGATCTGCAGACGCGGTGCTATGTGTTTTGCCGCGGTTTTGATGCGTTCCATACTGACAGCTGGAGTGGGGCTGTCAATATGTTAACTGCAGTGCAGTGCGTTTTTGACACGTTTTGCGTTTCCGGTCCGTTTCCTGACCGGACAAAATGTGACATGCAGTATTTTTCTGTCGTAACCTGAACGGACTGCGCACGTGAGAACTGTAGCCCATAAAACACATAGGGATACATTGGGATGCATTTTTAGTGCAGGAGCGTACGGATCAGGTCAGCACAGAAAACGGACGTCGTGTGAACAGGCCCTTAGGGCCGATTAGTAAACTAATCGATTAATTGATGATGAGAGTAGTTGTCAATGATTCTCATTATCGATTAATTTGTCTGGGTCCCCCAGTTTTCTTCTCCACGCTGAAAGCCTGTGTTTTATTGGATCTGTGTCGTCCTCCCCCCGATCCCCGGCACTGATCACTGCGATGTTTGAATATTACAGAGAACGATCTGTAAATATTTCACATATAGTATTTGCTGATCATCCTGCAGCTCTCCTCCGTACACTGACCTGCTTGGCCTCCAGTGGGTTTCTCCTCCCCGCTGGGCGCCGAAAGGTGAATCAGCTCTGTGTCCCCTCCGATCCCTGCTGCCTCTGCCTATGGAGGCAGGGGAGAGCAGCAAATATTGGAGGGGACAGAGACCCCTGCAGCCGGTGCCCAGCGGTGAGGAGAGCTCCACCAAACCTCCCCACCCCGCTGCTGCAACATTGGCTATGCAGCTTTTTCCTCTACACTGGGAGTTTGCTGCATGCTGCGGTCTGTGTCCGCTCTGATCCCCACTGCTCTCCCCTAACACCATTGGCAGAGGCAGCAGAGATCAGAGGGGACAGAGACCCTTGCAGCTGGTGCCCAGTGGTGAGGCAAGCACCACTAAACCTTCTTACCCCCGCTGCTGCCACATCGGCTATGCAGCTTTTTCCTTTACGTTGGGAGTTTGCTGCATCCTGCGGTCTGTGTCCCCTCCGATCTCCACTGCTCTCCCATGTCTTTGATCACCACGATGTTTGTAAATGATTGAGGACATAGTATTCAGATACTGTGTCCCCAATTATGAAAGAACAGGAAGTGCTCTACATCCCTTCCTGTTCATTCATGATCGTGGACACAGTATCTGTTTACTATCTCTTTTTGATTTATGAATGAACAGGAAGCCCGTGTACTGAGTGCTTCCTGTTCATTGAGTGCCGGGTCTGCAGAAAAAGATAGAGGACTCTGTGTTCATGCAGTTTTATTCTGAAGTAAACTTTATGATTGTAACACTCCATTTGTTTATTTTAAATTAAGGAGGGAATTAATCGTTTTTAATTCTATTAATCGAAAAAAAATCGGCCAACTAAATGATTATGAAAATAATCGTTAGTTGCAGCCCTTCACACTACCATTATAAACTGGGATTCAGCAAAATGTTGTCTTTTTTTTTCATTTAGGATCATCATACAGTATAAGATGTGTTATTTGAGACCCAAACACGGGTACCAGTGCAATGCTGGCCTATCTGCTGAATCATTTTAGTATATCCATTGATTTGCAGATCATCTTCCAGTAACTACTTTTATTGATAGTACACTACTGACTATTGAACTGACAGAACAATATGTGTCCTTTGGGTGCTTTACCGCTGCTGGTACATAGGACAGATAATAAACTTTACTTCACTATACAGAATGTTCAAATATGTATCCCAACAGTGTACTTTATGTACCTAATCTAAGTCTGAAATACAAAAATTATTTATTTAAAGGGACTGTGTCATGGCAGAATAATGGAGGATGCAATTGCTGAACTCCTTATTTAAGAATGCTAGCTAATTGGCTGTCATTCTGATGCTGTGGCTTCAGTGCTCTCTAAGTCACTGACCCAAACAGGTTTGCAGAAAATAAACTCTTTTCTGATGCTCATTTACATCATGCGTGTTTCCTGTCTGTGACTCAAATGTACTTGAAATGACCCTGTCAATCGCTTAAAAATTCAGCTAAAGGTTCCTTGCTTTAGAAGAACTGTTATGTTCACCTGTGCTCCATTCCAAAGGTGCAGTCTCTGCCGGACCCCTCAGTATTTAACACTGTCATGGTGGCCTAGCTCAGGGAACTTTCAACTGGATTTATTTAGATGATTGACAGGGTCACTTTAAGACAGACACAGTCAGGCAACTAGCATTTTAAACCCACAGCCGGCAATGGCAGGCCCAAACTTCTCTCAAGACAGGATCACCTTAACACCTTTCCCAATATAGTTTTCACTTACATAAGAATTAATTATTCCACATTTTTCTGCCCCTGTCAGCTGGTATGACAGCAGCATATGAATCACACCAGGGGATATAATATTTTAGACAACACGAGGAGGAGCAATGTGCTGTAAACCATACTGAAATTATGTCAGCTTCCCTTGGTCTGTCTATATTAAAATGTAATCTAATTGTCTTTGGGTTATGTGTTCTTTTCAAAGTGTGTAATATTTTGTAAGATATATGTAAGAAGTTTTTGCTACTTTGTAAAGTAAGGAAAGAGCAAACATGTATTTTCAGCAAAACCCAAAAATTGTGTGCCTTATGGCTTACCCCAGTTGTATAGGTATCCCTTATATTAATGTGTTGAGCCAGTCAACTCTAACAAGGCATGCATGCTTCAAAGGGGATAAAGTCAATGTATTGCATATGGGAATTAATATGTGCATGTATCTTACTTCTTAAAGGTGACTTTTTTAAGGGTATCTGTAAAAATCTGTATTTCAGTGATAAAGAGGATTACATACAAACTTTGCTGTACCAGCTCACCAGCTGAACTGGCTGCTCAAGAACTGACACTTTAAATGTCCATGGAGGGGACAGTGATCATCAATAAGAATGGCGTGATAAGGGGAAATTGTTTATTTTATGGCACTGAAATACAACTTTGTCAGGATCAGTGACTGTTCCCTCAAGTGTACACACTATCAAAAACAGCACTAATAGGTAATTCTTTCCCCACAAAGTCCTCCACACAGAGGACTTCTATCTTCGAATACTATTTAATATAACTCATTTACTAAAGTGTAATCCAGCAGTAGAAAGTTGCAGTACAAAAATGTCCATAATACATTTGTGACATTTTGAGAGAGGCCCTTTTTTTAAGCACAGTGTACTGAGCGGGGGGGGGCTGAAACAACACTATTCTGAGGAGCAGCGAGAAGCTAATGTTGCCCGCCAACAGCAGATGTGCATTACAGGGTTGTATGTCGGCAAACGAGTAAAAAAGCATTTTAGAAGTGTTTTTGTTTTTTAAATTTGAGTGGGTGAGATTCGGGGGGGTGGGAACGAGGTAGGGTTGATTTTGCCAAGAGGTAAGCAGGCCATACACAAATTTGTAGTTTGCACAACAACAAGTGTCACCATTGTTATCTAATTGTAAATTACGACAAGCATTATAGATACTGTATATAATAAACTCCATATAATCTTAAGCATATTTATTTCATTATTATTGGTATTTATATAGAGATGACAATTTTTACACAGTCACATCAGTCCCTGCCCTCAAGAGCTTACAAGCTAAGGGTCACTTTTTTTTTGTGAAGCCCGTGGAGCGTGCTCGAAAACGAATCCCCTGTGATCCAAAAAAGTGAATCGTGAAATCACAACACACAAAAACGTGCACAAAGGTGCTTGGCCCTTCAATAAAGAAGGGGCCACAATTTCCCGACCCCCGGGCCGCAAGGCTCCTGACAGGGGTTGAGACGACTATGGTCCACCAACCCGAAGGCCGGCGGACCCCAATCCTTTGGGCACCTGCCGAAACAGGTCCCACATAGTACTAGGTTGGGGGGATCTCCCGAAGAGAAACCCCCCATAGGTGGGAGGAGACAGTGAACCCTATATGAGGGCACAGAATCTCCTCCCCAACGTCGGGGAAAAGGCCCTGAAGGAACCTGCACCCTCAGTCATCTGTGGGTCAAAATGTAAAAAATAAAAAAGTGCCAATCGTGCATGTAATGCAATAAATAAATCTAAAGTGCCAGTGCACCACGCTGACAGGCCAGCCTTAAGGGTCACTATCTCACATGCATACATACAAGGGCCAATTTACCTACAAGCATGTCTTTGGAGTGGAAAATGCAGTACCCGGAGGAAACCCACACAAGCACAGGGAGAACATGCAAACTCCTTATATCTGGTGACCTGGCCAGGATACAAACCAGGGACTCCCAATGCTACA